AGGCTAACTCCAGGTGAGGGACAGCCTGGAAAGTGCCTACCAGAACATCTCAGAGCATCCAGAGTCCAAAGAGACCTGACGTCTGAAGGTGGTAACCCGGATGGGGTCTCGCAGCAGGGGGGTTGTGACATTGGGTTAAAACTAAGCAAATGTGTATAAAACACGGACTTAGATGATAATAACGGGTCCTCACTGGTTATGTTAACCATAGGGTGGGGATGTATGGAAACTCTGGAAACCTTTCTTTCTCAGAATGTCTGTTTTTAGAGCCCCATTGCAGTGGTATACTAAGATGCTGTTCTCTGCTGCGGGGACCACAGGGGAGGCCCTGGGTCAGTTCTGGTCCAACCTAAAGGCTTGCATGATGGAGTGTGCCTACACTCCTAATGACTCAGCCAGCTGAGGTGGGAGGAGCCCACGAACTTGAGGCTGGCCAGAAAGAGCAGGGTGTGGCGGGGTGCACCTGCCATCCCAGCTGGGAGACTGGAGCAGCAGACTCTGTCTTTTAGCTTCCAACCCTCTGGAGTTCTAGCTCTACCCCCTCGTTCTTATTTATGCTGTTCACTCCGAAGAGCTCTCACATCCTGCCATTCCTCTCCCGCTCATTTACTCTGGCCTCCCCGGCTCCCTCCCACCTCTGTAAAACATGTACTGCTCCAATACACTCCACACGCACTTGTGCATGGGATGGAGGGGAGGAGTGGAATCCAGCCCTGGGCCATGGAATCAGATCCTGGGTAGGATCCATCATGGGTCAGGCAGCATGAGTGGTCGGGAGGCCTGGCAGACAAGTGGCTCCCTTGGGGTTGGCTCCCCACTCTAGCCAGAGTCCCTGTCCTCTGACACCCCCAGCCTCCTACCCAAACCATCCACTTGGCCTCCAACCTGAGGCTGGAGAGGCGCTGTGGCTGAGCTCTGCCTGGCAATGGCCCCATTCTTCCTGTGTCACATGAAGGCAGGAAGATCCAGGCTGGGGCCCAGAGTCGGCCCCGCCCAGCACTGTGAGCAACTGACATTAAGCTAGGGCAGGTCCCGCTCCCCCTTCTGTAAGTAGGAGCAGACCATGTTGCTCTGTCTTCCTCCCAGGGAGGCTGTGTGGCCCTGACGAGCTGTGAGTGATGGGGGAGCGTGTGAATCACCCCATACACTCATCGCCGTGGTCATTAGTATCATTATTGGTATCATCGTCATCGTTATTAATCCTCAGTTCACAGCAGCCTCGGCCCTCTCTCCTCATGCTCCCTGGAATGCTCCTGAATGGGCAGTGGGCAGGTGCCCCAGCATTCACGCCAGTCCCTCCCCGACTCCTCTCTCTCCTCAAGACCCTAAACCTTTCAGCAGCTGGTACTGAGTCAAAGGAAGGCCCCGCCTTCACCCCAAACGTTCTCTCCAGCACTGTCCACCCAGATGAGCTGGGAAGAGCCCTGGCCATCGAGGTGCTCCCGGAGGGGTGGGGGCACCTCTCGCCTCCTCTGGATCGCAGCCGCCTTATCCGGAAGTGCTGCTCCTAACCTTGCAGAATCGTGGTGAGAATGACTCGGGCTGTCCAAAGCCCGTCACCGTCCCTGGAGCACAGGTGGGCTCAGTACTCAAATGCAGCCTCGGCTGCCGAAAGTCCCTCCATGAACGGTGCCCCCTTGTTCAACCTTGCTCTCTTTCTTCTAGGCTTCTTTGAAAGAGCACCCCCGGGAGGGGGACAAACACGTCACTGGACCCTGAAGGTATTTCAGGGTGTGCAGATGTTGGCTCTGATTTCGAAGTGGGGTGACAAAGACTGACACTGTGAGGCCAGGCCTGTGCGAGGAGCAGAACTGAGCATGAGAACCAGGCTGGTTGTCCTTGCCCAGCCCATCCAGGGTAGTGGCAACCTCCTCCCTGGCCCACTGAGCCCTGCATTATTCTAAAACCTTTGCCTGGTCCTGCCAGGTGGGCAGGATCCACACCAATGCTGTGCAGTACTGTAGACTGAGGCCACTTCTGGCCCAACTGCATGCCAGTAGGGAGGCGGAGTCAGAGGCAAGGGTCACAGGGTGGATGTCAGGCTCGAGAGCATGCCATTGCATCAGTCTGTGTCAGGCAGCATAGCACCAGGTTACCCATCACTCAGGAATGATGAAATGAACGTGACGCATACAGAGTAGAATACTATGCAGCCCTGACAAAGAACAAAGGGTGCAGTCAGAGTTTCTGGATGCAAGCCACAGACTCGCCATGCCTGGCTGACGTCAGGGAGACCATTTCACAAGTTCAGAGGCCCCGTTCACACGGCGGTCCGTGTACACAGCCCACTCGCACAGCAGCTTTTGAAGTTGTGCAACTTGGAACTTTTGTGAGGATGTCAGGCGGTTTGCAGAAATAATGGTCAGAAAGTAAGAGCCAGCCAAGGTCACTGGCGAGAACCACCTGGTTAGAGCCCCCTTGGTGCACTCCCAACACTCTCACACCACACATGACACCCCGGCAGTCCCTGTGCCTGTCCTTTATTCCCTCAGAGTCCACATCCCCAGGAGGAAAGCACAGAATTAATGAAACCTCAGCCATGTATTCTACTTATAAACACTCATGTTCGTACCTACGCTCAGGGCTCTGGTCTAGAATATCTTCCTTAATGCCCACAACAACCTGGAGGCAACGGGAATATTATCATCTTCGTTTTATAGGTAAGAAGATTGGGCCACCTTTGACAGAGGTATGGAGAAGTCAAGAAACTTGCCTAAGGTCACACAGCTAGTGCAGAACTGGGATTCGGATAGACACCCCGGCTGCCATGTCTGCTCTTGACAGTGGCACTTTGCTGTCATACCCTCGTTCCAGCTGCCAAGGAATGAAGAAAGGAGTACTGGCTTCTGCAGCCTCCCCCAAAGAGTGGTGAAGTATTTCCCCATCAGGAGGGCCAGCCCTGAGACCTAATGGTCAAGGGAACCAGATCCCGAGTGGCTTATCCTGGGTTGCAGTTCCGGACCTAGAGGCTTAAAAAAACACCCTGGGGAGTACCAGCAGATGGCATAATGGTTACATCACTGGACTCCCATGTAGTTGACTACATTTTGAGTCCCAGGCCCGGTGACTTAAACACGCTGAGTGCAAGTGTGCAATATCTAAAATCCAAGAGGGGAATGGAGAAGGGATTGTGGCATGGCCACCCCTCTGGGGAGTGATTTCTCACTTTCTGTCTCTCTGTCTCTCTGGTGAGCACAAGTACCCTATAGCAAAAATCCGTCTTCGAAAAACAAAGCAAAACAAAACAACACCCTGGTTGCACGTGCACACGTGCCTGAAGTCCCAACAGGATGGAGAAATAGGGGAAGGGACTGCAGCCTGGCCGCACTCCACTGGAAGGAGATTTCTCTCCTTTCTCTCTGTCTCTCTATCTCTCCTGGCAAGTGCACGTGCTCGCTGGCAAATTAAAAACCAAGAATTCCTCCATTAGGAAGTAGACAGAAACCAGGAGCCTCCTCTGCACGCGGAAAGCACGCAGAAAGCACGTCCCAGATTCAGCAGTGAAGACGAGCAAGTTGCCGGGAACACATAGTGTGATTCCATTTTTAAAAGAGAACGTTATAAAAATGGGTACTGGAATTGCGAACCCTTACGTAACGCTTCCTGTGCACAGACCCTGACCGCTCAACCGCAGTGGCGCGCGCTGCTAGGACGCTGCCTTCCACAAGCCGAGATCCCCTGAGGCTTGGGTTTGATTCCTTGTCCACCGGAAGTCCAATACAGTGATGTGTGGCTGTAGACCCTGAGACTCAGGAGGACCCAGACTTGGGGAGACCTTGCCAAAGAAGGAGAAGGAAGAGGAGAAGGAGAAGGAGGAGAAAAGGAGGAGGAGAGGAAAAAAGAAAAGAGATTGCCTCTAGTGCCTGGGCCTCGTGCCTCCCCTTCCGACCTGCCCTCTTATCTCCAGCTCCAGCCTCTGACCTGAAACCTCCATCACTGAATCTGTCCTCCCTGCTCAGCCCCGGGTGATGTGTAACAGAGCTGCAGTGACCCGCTTGGCATTCTTACCAGGGGCTCCACTGGCTACTAGTTCTCAGTTTGCTCCCCAAGTCCACTAAAGCTGGGCCCCCATGCCTAGGATCCTGAGGCCCCAGACTTTGCTCCCCTGCCTGGGGGAGGGCACTTCCACCCCCTGCATTCCTGTGTCTCCACGCATCCTCGGATGACCTGTGTAATGTCTCTCAGGAGTACGTGGAAACGCAGATTCTCGGGCCGGCTCCAGGATGCTCCATCTTAAACTAAGTCACCCGGCAATTCTCCAGCTTGTGAAGAAGGAAAGACCACTAGCCACAAGCCCTTGTGATGCGAGGCGCCTTGATCTACTGCGGAAACTGAGGCCGCCCTTCCTGTCCAGCCTCCTGTTCATCATGTGCCCTCGAAATGCCACTGGAGGCCTCTGCCCAGGAGCCTTCTCCTTGGCCCTCTGGGGAATGTCGTTCACCCTCTGTGATGCAGCTCACTCACCAGGCCCTCTAGGAAGCTGCTCGTGTCCTCCTCTGTGCACTTAGGGCACTTTGCTTGTCATTGTGTGGTGTGGCTCGACTTCCTAATGGGCAGGGGCCCTGGCACCACCGAGGCAGGGGTTCTCCTTCAGATGATGGCCTGAGAAGAAAGTGCCCTTTCCGATCATCCACTGTGCACAGCGTTGGTGTAGAGTGCCACCAAATGAACGACCACCAGAGCCAGGTTACGTTTAAAGGGAGTCTTTATTAGCCGGCCAGCAACTACAACCTAAGGCTTGGGGGCCGAGAGTCAGAACTGTAGCCCCAACCATAGTTTGAGCAGTCTTTTTATAGGGGATCAGTTACCAGGGGTTTCTATGCAAGCAGTTTGATTCCGAAGCTGAATCAAACAGGTTAGTTATTTCTGAGGGGACTGGGGTTTCCATGCAAGCAGCTACATTGCTAAACAGAAGGGTTTCGGGCTAGTTAGCAAAGACAGCAGCAGGTACAGGATGTCATTCTGCATACGGTTTTCTGTATGGCTAGCACAAGATGTTTTCTCATGGGGAGAGCAAGCAGTTGTACAGAAGCAGACAGCCATGTTAGGGTAAAGGAACAAAATGGACAAAGATCTAATATGTGGCCTTCCCCAGCCTCTGTCAGTGAGACTTCCATCTTTCCCTCGAGCCAATGAGGCTGGCGTTGTTCGAACGGTACAGGGGGGGACACTGAGGCTTGCGGAGGCTTACCGTGGAGCCTGCACTGCTGGTGAGTAGAGAGCTGGGCCTCAACCACAGCTCCCCTCACTCATCTGCTCCCCGTCTTGGGCTTTGCTTGTGTCTGTCTCTCCGGTTTCTTAGGAAAAGTTTCTTTGAAAACGTGTATCCTGATGGACTGAAGGATACAAGTGTAAAATGGGTGTTCTCTGGGTTAAAGGCACTTGGGTCCAAACCCTAATGGTGAACTCTGGACCTTGAGCAAGTGGCCTCTTTCAACCTCAGTTTTCTCTTCTGCGGGTTGAGTGGTTTAAATGAGGTGATCGGATGTGAGATGCAGAGTAGCCCCCAGTACACCGTGGTTGTCTGAAATCGATGGTTTTCTTCTCTCTGTTCTCACTGTCCTGAATCCAAAGAGCCAGGGAAGTAGACAGCCCTTAGGGACAGAGGCCATGCCAGGTGGAGAAACCGGAGAGGGCTGTGAGTTGGAGTAGAAGGATGCAAAGGCCAACAGCCCGGGGACACAGAGGGTGAAATTCACAAAAGGAGTCAGGGCCCTGGCTGGGGTTGCAGGCCGGCCTGCCTGCCTTCGGTTTTCCCATCCAAGGCCTAGCATACGCTACCAAGTGTAAGAAACAGCTCCCTGGGCCCAGGGGGTAGTGCAGTGGTGAAATGGGATACTCTGCAAGGCTAGCCCACATGGAAAGTTCTGGATTATGTCTAGAGACCTCCCTGAGTACACCGGGCATGTGCATACCTGTGATTTGGGGCTGCCTGAGACTGGGGGTGGACCATGGCATCAAGACCCTATTGGGTCTGTTGGGGATGCTCTCTCACTCTCTCTGTCCCTCTCGCTCATGGAGAAAATAAATAAACAAACTTTTAAAAAGAAAGAGCTCCATAAGTGACATCTCTGTCAATCACTGTGGAAGACAGTGTCCTTTTTAGTTATTCAAAACCCCCAGGGAACCAAGAGGGCCAAGAACACTGAGTTCCTTCCAGGAGACCTGGGCTCAAGCCTCCCCCAGTCTGCAAGTACTCTGGAAGTGCTCCGAAGCCGCATAACCGTCCTGCCCACCTGGACACCAGCAGGCCCAGGATTTGTGCTCCGGCTCTGGGCCTCGCTCGACCTCTGCTTTCTTGGCTGTTTCTCCTACCATTACCTGGGTTTTTACTTTCTGTTCTTGGATTAATGGACATTTGATCGACTGGATTGTTGAGCAAGTCTTCTATTCTTTGACTTATGGAGGATATAAACAAAAGAAGGGCTTTCTTCCTTTATGTGACACATGACCAGTGGTCAAGAATTCTGTCCTGGGACCAGCAGATGGTATAATGGTTATGTCGCTAGACTCCCATATAATAGACCGCGATTCAAGTCCCGGACCTGGCGGCTTAAAATTCATGCCAGGTGCATGCATGCACCTGTGTGCCCAAAATCCAGAGAGGAGACTGAAGGAGAAGGGATTGTGGTGTGACCATCTCCCCGGTGGTGATTTCTTGCTTTCTGTCTCTCTGGCAAGTGCACGTGTCATATAGCAAAAATATCTCTTAAATAAAAGAAGGAAGGAAGGAAGGAAGGAAGGAAGGAAGGAAGGAAAGAAGAAATGGAGGAAGAAAGAAAGGAAGAAAAAGAAAGAATTCTGTCCTGTCCAGCAGGGTACAAGGAATTGTGAGGTGAGCAAGGGACCCAGCCCTTGTTCACACCAATACCCACCTGCAAAGCAACAAAGCTACTTCAAATCCAGGAGCTTGTGGCCAATGCCAAGGAACAGAAGTGGCTTCTAGGCTGTGGTGTGGGGTCTGCCAGAGCAGGGAGAGGGATGTCAAGGGAAAGAATGTTCCTAAGAAGCACAAGCTCATCAGTCCCAGTGCCTGGATTCCACGCACCTGCAAGGGCTCTGGGACTCAGCTCCAAATCAGAGCTCCGGGCGCCATCTAGTGTTTTCTAGGGGGGTTGCAGGAGGGAAAAAAGCGCAGATGAAAACAGTAAAACCCAGGAGAAGGCAGTGCTGGACAGCACAGGGAAACCGGAAGGAAGAAGCCTTGCGCTTGCCCTCAGCCTCCCCCATCAGCAGGGTACCCTGTTCCAGAGTGGACACCACCAACCCCAGGGCTTCTTCTTGACCCGGCTTGTGTTTTGTGTTCTCTCACTGTGTGATCTTGGGCAGGGAGCTCTGACCTCCAGGCCTCGGTTTCCCCAACTGTAAAATGAAGGAGTTGGGCAAGGTGAGGTCACATACCAGGCGCCGCGTGTGGCACTCTAGCTCATCTAACCCTCATGCCCAGGTGAGCTCCCCATCACCCTCATTCCCCCAATCCTCACACTCCAGGTACCCCTGACCACACACTCTCAGGCTTCACTCATCTGTAAAATGCCCCGTGGCCACCACAGGAATTCCCGCCAGCGTTTAAGACTTGCTAAGACCACCCCTCCAGGATTCCTCCTTCTTTGCCTGGCTTTGGTTTCGTCCTCTCAGCTGAAGTTCTCTCTCTTAGTTATAGTCAGGTGGTCTTCCTCCCCTGCAGCCCAGAGCTCCCCCAGCTCAAGGGCTTGTCTCAGCCATGCTTTTCCATCCTCATCAAGCCTCATAAAGGTCAGCCTGGCTTCATGCCCCGTGCAGTGGACAGAACAATGGCCGCCCGAAGATGTCCATGTCCTCATCCCTGGAACCTGTCAGTATGTTGCCTTACATGACAAAAGGGACTTTGCAGATGGTGATCAGGTGGAAGAGCTTGTCATGGGGGAGAGCATCGACATGGGGGAGAGTGCCCTGGAGTATCTAGGCCCTAACTTTGAAATCGCAACAGTTGTTACAAGACAGGGAGTTCACAGTCCAAGAAAGAAATGGTGGACGCAGAGATTGAAGTGACCCGGGGTCACGGGCCAAGGAATTCAGGTACCCAAAGAAGCTGGAAAGGTGAGCAGACAGAAGCTGCCAGAAGGAAGGCCAACCCATCCTGGACTTCTGCCCTCCGGAACGGTAAGGTAGTGTAAATTTGTGTTCTAAGCCATTCTGTCGGTAGTGATTCGTTCCTGCAGACACCAGACACTAACCCAACATGGTTCCGCTTCTCACTAGTAATGTGACTTCGGGCAACTTGCTTACCCTCTCGGTGCCTCATTTTCCCCATCTGTAAATGGGCATGATGCAGACAATAATTCTCATCTCACAAGGTTGATGTGCACATGAAACGAAATAACTGCAAATCACTTCGACTCATGCTCAAATCTAAAAAACTGTTAGTAAGAATAATGGGCAAGAATAATGAGCAACTGCCACTGATTGGGGGCTTAAGATGCACTGTTCCAGGCAAAACGTCAGATCACTTAGAAGAATTTCACACCGTCACCCCAGGGGGTAACAGTTTCAATCTCCACTTTACCAGTGAGGACACAAACCCAAAATAATGTGCCCCAAATCGCTCCAGGATTAGAGGTATTTTAGACTTCGCTCTTTCTTGCATGCACCTGGGAAATGATACCACTTCTTGTTCTTCACTGATAGAGGTTTTGTATGTTTGGGGTTGGAGGGTGACAGAGGGAGGACACAGGTTAGGCAGACAGAGTCCTGCTCTATCCCAGAGCTGACCCTTCTTCTTCCTGCCTAGTTCAGGAGAGAGAAAATGTACGTATTTGCCCTACCCCGTCCATTTAGGGGTTCGATGGAAATCGAACTACTCCCGTCTCCAACTTCCCCCAACCAGTCCGAGCAGCTTTTAAGCTCGCCTTGGGGGCACCATGAGATGGGCAGGGCCACGAAGCAGTGTTCGAATTTGCTGGGGGATAGGGGAGGTGGTAGACTTGCTCAGACCCCCAAGGGTCCCGCTGAGCCCCCTCCCTCCTCGAAGCCTGAATAAGGAGCCATCTGTTCCTGGCTGAATGAACAAGGAGGGGGAAGCCGCGCCGGGTCCCCTGCCCCCTAGCCCGACTGCGGCACAATGCGCCTTTCTCCAAGGAGACGCCGTCCGGGCGCCACCAGAGCACGTTGCGTCTGGCCTCCCTCCCCCTGTCGGCACAGCAAGACGTACAAAACCGATCCTGTGAAAATCAGATTTTTTTTTAAGAAAAAGAAATCCAACAAAAACCTGAGCACAGCACGCGGTGAGGACGTGCGGGTCTGGCACGCGGTCCCCACCTCCACCCCTTCCCAATCCCCGCCATCCCCCCTGTCCGGCTTCTGGTCCAGGCGAGGCCAGCTCAAGCACAGCGCTGGGAGCCCGCCAGCGTCTCCTCCCCGACAGCTCAAGCCGGAGAAGCCCAGGTTCTGCCCCGCTAGGGCGCCCTGACAGCGCTCGAAGGGCACAGTCCGTGGGGCCACACCCCGTCCCGGGTCCTCGCCACCGGAAGCCCTCATTTCTGGTTGGCCAGTTGATTCTCCAGATCCTCCAGGCGCGCGGTCAGCTGGGCCAGTAAACAGTTAAGGAAGCCTTTGGGGTTCGTTGGGACCCCTTTACCTTCCCTCCAGCCCGCACCGCCAGCCCCAAAGGATATGGTTCTGGGTCAGGCTCTCGAGCGCCCCCAGCGTGCGGCCCTGGAACTCCATAAGGCTTTCACATTCGCAAGGGCTCCGAAGCTCTGTCCCAGCGCTGATGCCCTCCTCTGCAAGCCGGGCACAGGGTCAGGAGAATGAGAAACTGCAGGAGGCGGGGCTGGCCCTAGCCTTGGCGCTCTCTACTTTACCTGCACCGGGTGTGTGGTTGAGTGTACGGGCTTTGGATTTAGACAAACTTGGGCTGAGTCCTAGCCAAGCAGTTATGAGATACTGGAAAACAACCTAAGCCTCATTTTTTTTTTCATCCATAAAATGGATCTAATGAGGGAACACAGGCATTGATGGTGCAAGGATTCAAGGATTTGAGTGTGTGTGCGTGCACAAGTTACAGAGTGTTTCTCAAACCTTAATGTTTATCAAACTCATTGGGTTTGTTAAAATACAGATCCTGATTCAGAACCAGGAACGGACTGAGAATCTACGTTTCTTTTCTTTTTTTTTTCTTTTTTGGAGAGGTTTTTGCTACAGGGCGCATGCGCTCACCAGAAAGACAGAGAGAGACAGAAAGTGAGAAACCACCCCCTGGGGGGGATGGCCACGCCGCAATCCCTTCTTCTCCATTCTCCTCTCAGGAACTTGGGCACGCACACACATGGCGTGAGTTTAAGCCACCGGGTCCAGGACTCGAACCACAATCAACTACAAGGGAATCCAGCGACATAGCCATTACGCTAACTGCTGGTCCCTACGTTTCTAAAAGCTCCCAAGTGATGCTAATGCTGACTCATGGACCACACCTGAAGGAGTGAGAGTCCAGAGCAACACTCTCCAAATGCAACTTCACGCAGTGATGGAACCTTCCACATCTTCCCGATCCCATGCAGAGTCATTAGCCACGCATGTCTACTGAACACTAGAAATGTGGCTGGTCCAGCTGAAGAATTGAAGTTTATTTAATTAATTATTTTTAACTCAGTAGGCAGATGAAGCTAGTGGCTCGCTTATTGGAAAACACAAAGCAGGGACCAGCAGATGGTGTAATGGTTACAGTGCTGGACTCCCGCATGGTCGACCGCAGTTTGAGTCCTGGACAGGAGGCTTGAAACTCACGCCAGGCATGTGTGCATGCGTGCCCAAAATCCTAAGAAGAGAGTAGAGGAGAAGGTATTGCAGTGTGGCCATTCCCCCGGGGGGGTGATTTCTCACTTTCTGTCTTTTCAGTGAGCGCACATGCCGTATAGCAAACATCTAAAAGAAGGAAAGCACAGCTCTAGAACCGTGCCTGGCACAGGTAAGCACTATGGAGTCTATTGCAACCAGACCAGTGGTTCTCAGAGTGTGGGTACTGGACCAGCAGCATCAGTATCACCTAGGAATTTCTCAGAAATGCAAATTATTAGACTCCATCAGAAAATCTAGAATTGGAGCCCAGTGACCTGTGCGTTGAACAGTCCTCCAGGTGACTCTGATGCATATTAATGTCTAAGAACTAGTGACCCGGCCAGCAAGTGGCATCGTGCTTAAGGTGCTGGATTCTCACATGGCTGGCTACGGTTGAGTCCTGGGACATGCAACTTGAAAATCACAACAAACAGATGGATGGATAAACGTTTTCATTGTTGTTTCTTAAAAACAAAACAAAACAATAATCCAGCCTAGCCTAGGTGTCACAGACTCTAGTCTACTGGATCACAGTTCTGGAAGCCACAGCCAGTTCGGGTCCCTGGCATGGCCAGCATAAACCATGTTGGGTGCACATGCAAGTGCCCGAGATTCTATTCTGACGAGCTTCTGGGCTGGAAGAGAGAGAGAGTGGCATAACCAGACCCTGTTGAGGAAGCTTCTCTCTCTCTCTCTTTCTCTTTCTCTCTCTCTCTCTTGCCCTCTCTTTCTCATGCATGTACACATGTTCTCTATTGTGAATTAAAAAAAAAAAAAGTAAAGAACCATTGATCTCAGTCTATCTCCCCCATGCATTTCAATGTCTGGGGGGAGGGCGGGGAGGGAGAAAAACCTTACAATTAAAGTTGGTACCTGCTTTTCTTAGCAGTACACATAATGGAGACTCTTACAACAGACAGTATTCTAGGTCCACTGAAATTCTGTAACTGTGTGCCATTTTTAATATTACAGGTAGTGATGCAGTAAGCTCACGGCCTGGCACTGAGCCTTCAATAGAGTTGTCACTATGATGTAAAAGTTACCTCTCAGGGAACCAGCAGATGGTGTACTGGTTATGTCACTGGACTCCCACTTAATCCACTGTGGTTTGAATCCCAGACCCAGGGACTTGAACTCACGCTGGGCGCACGTGCATTCATGCCCAAAATCGTAAGAGGAGGATGGAGGAGAAGGGATTGCGGTACGGCTATCCCCCCCAGGGGGGAGTGACTTCTCACTTTCTGTCTCTCTGGCTCTCTGGCAAACACATGCACCCTATAGCAAAAATCTCTCTTTAAAAAAAAAGTTCCCTCCCTCTCGGTTGTAGTCTTGCATGCCCACAGCAAACTGCTGTATTTGGCGTTACTCATGGTGTTAATAGCAGTCCCTTGCAGGCCCGTAATTATACAGATGGAGAAACCCAGGGCCAGGTGGAGGGGTGGGGTGCCTGCCCAGGGTCATACAGCCAATTGGTGAACAGCCTCCACGGCTCCCCACCAGACTGTACTTAGAATTCTAGAGCCAGTGCCCTCCCCTCCTACAGAAAAGGAAAGTTAAGGTAAAGGTGGGGTTAAGTGACTTGTCCAAAGTCACGCTACAAAGGATGTAAGAGCATAAGAATGTCCTTGAAAGAGCAGCTAGTCCAGTGTTTACACAATACCCTGGTTAATGATTAGAGTTAGCCCGGAGACAGGAGATAGATACTGGCAGACTCATGTGGGTATGTGTGCATATGTATATACGTAACATACACACACTTACGCCTAAGAGGGGACTGCAAACATTCATGGGAAAATGGAATTATAGTATCAGTTTATCAAAATAAAGTGCAAACACGTTTTGAAATCCAGGCATTGCTTTTTTTATAGTGTGCACTTTCCATGAACTATTTGAAAACCCCTACACACACACACACACACACACACACACACACACTTTTTTTTTTTCAGAGATTTTTGCTATAGGACATGTGTGCTTGCCAGAGAGACAGAAAGTGAGAAATCATCCCCTAGGAGGGATGGCCACACTGCAATCCCTTCTCCTCCATTCTCCTCTTGGGATCTTGGGAATACACACATACACACCCAGAGTGAGTTTTAAGCCACCCAGTTCCAGACTAGAACCATGGTTAATTACATAGGAGTCCAGCAACATAACCATTACGCCATCTGCTGGTCCCCACACATTTTTTTTCTGTCCAGGCACAGCCCAGCTGTACTAAACAGGGCAATCTGAAAGAGGAGTCATACATGAAACCTGGGTGACAGTCCAAGGACCCTACAGTAAAAAGTACCCTCAAGAAATTCCCTAGATTGCCTATAAAGTACAGTGCACAGTCTAACAGCCCTCCCACTCGGCAGCCAGAGGTGGTCTCTTTTCCTCAGCTGGGCAGATGAAGTAGGTGGGCTGCATTAGTGGGCTACATTGTCAAAAACAAAACAAAACGAAACAAAACGCAAAACCTGTCTCTGTGTCCTTAAAACACACTCAACCTTGCCACTTTGCTAAGTCTGTAAAGTTGAATTCCAAGTTCAGTCCTGTGACTGCACTGACAAATGCTGTTTGACATGATTTTGAATTTTTTTTTCCTAAATTATTCTGAATATCCACTAATCTGGGGGGGTGGGCAAGTAGCCTTGTCTAGGGGCTTCTAAGACTTTAGCATGTTTATGAATCACCTGAGGGTCTTGTCGAAGTGCGAACCCTTACTCATTAGGTCTGGAGGGCACCAGCAGTGCTTTAGTTTTCACAAGCTACCAGGTGGCCTTCCTGCCACTGGGTGGAGGACCACACTTTGAATAACAGGCTCTGTCTAGTAGAGACTCCAGCCCCTAGTTATAGCTCTACGGAGAGGGTTGGGGGTGAAAGGGAAGGGAGATATGATAGGCTGGGCTGCGAGGGTAGGGGAAGAGCCTAGAGAGAAGTGCTCACCGGGGCAGATGCTGCCTTTGAGGTTCTCCAGCAGGTGTGTCATGGTGCCGAAGTCCGGGGAATAGGACACGTGCAGTTCGGCCGGCTCTGAAGCGATCTGGCGCAGCTCCTCCTCCACCGCCTTGCCCACGCCCACGGCGTACATGACAATACCTACGAGACAGGAGACTCAGAGGGGCACCTGGCCTCGAGAATGCTGCCTCTCCCTGTCAGACCCACCCCCCAGCCCAGCCTGTTCTGTGCCTAGCCCACCTTCCTCCTTGGCACGCGCTGCCCACACGGAGACGTCATCCTGGGAGCGGCCATCGGTGAAGACCAGGCCGACCCGAGGGATGTTGAGGGCGCGGGGCCTCGCGCCCTGCGCCTCGGAGAAGCTGTGCTCCACCATGTGCCGCAGCGCCAGCCCGGTCATGGTACCGCGTTCCATGTAGTCCACCGCCAAGACAGCCTGCTTCACCTCGGCCGCCGTGCCATAGCGGCCCAGCGGGAACTCGGTGCGCACGCGGCTGGAGAACTGCACCAGCCCCACGCGCGTGCCCTCGGGGGACACGTCCAGGAAGTCCACGATCTGGTTCACGAAGCGCTTCACCAGCTCGAAGTTCTGTGGGCGCACGCTCTTGGAGCCATCTACGAGCACAACTAGGTCCACGTGGCCTTCCCGACACCCTGCACGGAGAGAAGAGCCGGGATCCAGGCGCTCAGACCCCTGCCAGGCAGCAGACACCCACCCACCCAGTCATTCCTTCGCTTTAATTTATTCTGTAATGGACGCCATCGACCGCGTCCCTGCTGTGGCAGGCACGTGCCACACACTCCTTACCGTCATCACCAGCATCATCACCCTTGACATTCACTGAATGCTTAGCACAAACCAGACACTCTTGCCTTTTTTGTTTTTAAGTTTACTTATTTTATTCATGACAGAGAGGCATGGATGTGCCAGAGAGAGAGAGAGAGCACCCTTAACAGGGTCTGGCCATGCCTGATCCCCTTTCCTCAGCCCTCCAGCTTGTCTGGTTCTTGGGCAGGCACCCACACTCCCACCTGGCATATTTTCAAGCTGGCCTGGGAATCTGAACCCCTAGTCACCATGTGGCTGCAAGGACTGCAGTGCAGTTTGCGACCCCCTGCGCCACCAGGCTAGGCCCAGGCACCGTCACAAGTACGTTATAAAATAATATTAGTAATAGCAACAACAACAATCATGATAGCTACCATTCATCATCTATCATGTATCAGCCACAATTCTAAGTATTAGTAATCACAGTTTATTGGCAGCTTACCATGTGCCAGACACTGAGCTAAGTGCTTTATATACTTTTTTCCCTTCAATCCTCCAAATAACCTTGAGTCTTATCCCCGTCTTCTATAATCTGAGGTTCTAAAGGATAGGGATTTGCACCAGATTCCATAGCTAGTATCGGCTGAGCCCAGACTGGAAGGCAGGCCTGTCTGATCCCAAAGCCCATGCTCCTTATCATGCTAAGTGTTGCCTCCCCTATTCTGAGCTGGAGAATTTGCTAGGTCCCAAAGGGGGTGCAATGACAGATAAAACCTAATCCTCACCCACAGGGAAATTGGAGCAGGGCACAAGTCAGACATACGCTACACTGAAGGGACGTGAGGAGAAAGGGGCCTGCTGGCGCCGAAGGCAGGGGTAATTCATTTTTCCTGGAGTTGCTGAGAAAGGCTGCATGAAAGCGATGACATTCGATTTCATTTTTGTTATGGACAGAATGCCTGTGTCTCCTCAAATCCATATGTTGAAACCCCATGCCCTAAGGCAACGTTCTCAGGAAGTGGAATCTTTGGGAGGTAAATGGCAGAGATGAGGTCATGAGGGTGGCATCTTCATGAACGAGATGTGTCCTTACAAGACCACTGAAGAGCTTGCGTCCTCCTCCACCACGCGAGGACACAGCGAGACTTCCGTCTACAGACCGGAAAGCAGGCCCTCCCCAGACACGGCACCTGCTGGCATCTTGGCCTTAGATTTCCCAGGTCTAGAACCATGAGGAATATGTGTCTGCCATTTAAGCCACCTGGTCTATGGTACCTTTTTACAGCAGCCCAAAAGAACTAAGACAGTCTCGAAGGTTGAGTAGGAGTTTGCCAAGGCAGGGAAGGCATTCTAGAAAGTGGGGCCCAGCGTGTTCAGAGGCAGGGGAGCTGGGATGCTCGCGGCACATTCAGGAAAGGGTGGGTCAGTAAAGCTACAATGGTCAAGTGTGGCAGGAGACAGGCTGAAGGGGTTGGCTGAACCTAGATCGTGATGAGCGAAGGTGACAGAATTCTGACTACAACCCACAGTGAAATAATGATAATACACCATGACGCACTCCAGCTGCTCACAGGTAACAGCAGCCTAAGTTTCACGAAGCAGTGCGTACTCTTCCCGAATGCAGTAAACTCTCCTTTCTCTCCCGTTCTTTTGAACACTGGCTGTAACCCACTAATTTGATTTCATTTTTCACTAATGTGGTTGTGCCCACCATTTGAAAAACTCAGGGGGTAAGGCATTTGAACTTTATTCTGTGGATATTGGTGAGCCCCAGAAGGCTTTTGAGCAAAGGAGGAATGTGATCAAATGTGGACTTTTAAACATTAACCTTGATGGGGCCAGCAGGCGGTGTGGTGGTTAAGGCACTGGACTCCCACACGACCCACTATGGTTCAAGTCCCAGACCTGACGGCTTGCTTTCTCATGTTTCCTCTCTCTCTGGTGAGCACACATGCCTTCTAGCAAATTAAAATAATAATAATAAATAAAATTAAATAAATTATTCTTTAAAAAAAATTAACCTTGGCAGCATGGTAGAGGATCAAGGAGAAAGTGATAGAAGCAGGGCACGTTCTAACACCCCCAGCCCCTAGGCCGCACACACCCATTCCCAACAAACACATCCTTGGCTCCCAGAAAAGGCAAAGTCCAAGTGCTCAGAACATGGGCATGGGGCAGAAGCAGATCGAGCACGTCCCGTCCAATAACTCACGGCTACAGCTCTTGCCGTCCGCTTGAAGTTGCCGCCCCTCGGGGCACAGGCAGCGGTAGGAGAGGCCTTCACTCACACACTGGAACTCACAGCCATGGTCCAGGCCATTGCAAAAGTCTCGGACTTAAAGAAGAGACAGGTCAGGAGGAGTCAGGGGGGAGCCCACCGGCTAAGATCCCCTTTCTCACTCCACAGATGCAGGAGATCCCTCCTCACCTTGGCAGCTCCTCCCATCGGGCAGCAAGTCATGGCCCTCTCTGCAGCGGCACCGTGGCCCGCTGAGGGTGCTCATGCACTCGTGCTGGCAGCTGTGGTTCCCAAAGCTGCAGTGGTCAATGGCTGGTGGCAAGGAAGGGACAGCAAGATACCACCTGATTGAAGCCCTCTGAGCCCTCAGTCCGGGGTGCTGGGGTGTGTGTTGGGGTGGGCGGTGGGTTACTCACCCCTGCAGCTCCTCTGGTCCTGCTGGAGCACAAAGCCAGCTCTGCAGCGACAGAAATAAGAGCCCGGGGAACTGACGCAATGGTGCTCGCAGCCGTGGGTCCCCTTAGTGCACAGGTCAATGGCTAAGGAAGGGATAAGGTCAGCCTGTGTCCAGGGCTCACTCTCCAAAGTTTAAAAAAAAAAAATGCCTATGCCTGGAGGTGGCCCCATGGCCTAATGGTTAGGGGAGCCAGACTCCCCTCATGCCCAGCCATAATTCGAATCCCACCCCTGGGGGCTTGAAATTCAAGTATGAGTCTATTTTGATGGATACAAAAATACTTCCAAATTCATTTGTAGTTTTTTCATAATATGCTGTGCCATGGACTTTCTTTCTTTTTAAAAATTTTATTTAACTTGATTTATTTATTTTTATTTGACCAGAGTGATACAGAGAGAGAGAGACACAGAAAGTGAGAAAGCAAGCTATCAGGTCCAGGACTTGAACCACAGTCAGCCATGTGGGAGTCCAGCACTCTTAACCACCATGCCACCTGCCAGTCACTGTGCTATGAACTTTCTGAAGACTCATTGTACCAAACAGGGCCCAAGTTCAAGATACATATACATACATGTGTCCTTGTGTGCACGAGTGTGTAAGACAAAGAGACTGACTTACATACATGGTACAAGAAGAGTGTGTGTGTGGGAGGGGGGTGTTGAGAAATTGAGAAATGACCCATAAATCAAATGAATTCCGCAGATGTTCACAGCAAATGGTGACCCCCCAGACTGTAAGCCTTTGGGGATTCCAAGACCTTAGGGAGAGATTTAAATATTCATAGTCATCAAATGGGGATTCGAGTTAACCTTTGGAGAGGTTTTTGCTATAGGGCGCGTGCACTCGCCAGACAGACAGAGACAGAGAGACAGAAAGCGAGAAATCACCCCCCCAGGGGGGATGGTCATGCCGCAATCCCTTCTCCTCCATTCTCCTCTCGGGATCTTGGGCACGCATGCACACGTGTCTGGCATGAGTTTTAAGCCACCGGGTCCGGGACGCGAACCGCGGTTGACTACGTGGGAGTCCAGCAACATAGCCATTACGCTAACTGCCTGGGGTTTTTTTTTTTTTTTTTTTTTAGAGAGTTTTGCTATAGGACATGTGTGCTCGCTGAAGAGACACAGAGAGACAGAGAGACAGAAAGTGAGAATCCCCCCCACCCAGGGGAGATGGCCATGGCACAATCCCTTCTCATCTGTTCTCCTATCCGGACTTTGGGCACACACACATGCACACGCACACTGGGTCCGAGACTAGAAACGCAGTCGGCCATGTGGGAGTTCAGCAACATGACCATTACGCCACCTGCTGGTCCCCCTTTTTAAGTTTCTAGAAACTGGAAGACCCCAGCTGATACCTGGGTTGTTGGTGGGCTGAGAGATAGGGTCTGTGATGCTCTAAGCACAATGTCTGACACTAACTTGGCACTTGGTAAATGGTAGAGCAATCGGATCACAGGAGTGGACACACACGCCCACCAAAAAGAACAGCCCAATTGTATAAGCAAGGCATGGGTGTGCTGCAGCTTTTCAGAAGACAAAAGGAAGAACTAGGTCTGGAAGATTTGCAAAGGCAAAGGGGAGCAGCCAGGGCGACCCAGGTGAGCAGCACAGATGCACCTGAGTTCAGGAACGAGCCTGTGAGGGAGACCTACCTAACTGACAACCCCTAATGACGACTCAACTGGTAATTAAGTAACAGAAACTGCAGACATGGCTGGGAGGAGACAGAAACCGTTTGGGAAGGAAATTTAAGCCAGATAGGAGACTGGCCAGAGCCAGCATGCCCATTACTGAATCATGCGTAAGAATGAGAATCTGCAGTTGCACAGGGACTTCAAAATGTCTTTGGGGGGGGGGGGCCAGCCGGTGGCATGGTGGTTAAAGTGGCTGGATCCCACATGCTTAGCTATGTGGTTCAAGTCCTGGACCCAGTGACTAGAAAAACACACCAGGTGTGTGTGTGTGTGTGTGTGTGTGTGTGTGTTCATGTCCAAAGTTCCAAGAGAAAGAAGAGATTGCAGAGTGGTCATCCCCCTTGGTGGGTGCTTTCTAAATTTCCTTTTCTTTCTCTCTCTCTCTGGTAAGCACATGCACCCGATAGCAAAATTTAAAATATAATCATGCACAATGTCCTTGGGAAAATGGAATTAAAGTAGGAGTTGATTTTGGTGCAAAATAAACTTAACTGCGGGGTCAGGAAGTCCAGCCCTGTCCCACCAAGGACTTGTGCGGCCCTGGGCAATAGCCCCTCTTTCCCACGCCCGTAATGTGAAGGAGATGGGCTTTTCCTTCCAGAGGCCCTTCCAGACCCATCGGTCTGAATGCTGGGGCAATGGGGGCTGGAGAAGGTTCAGGAGCAGTGAGACTGCAGGGCAGGGAAGCTCTCACCCAAGCAGCTCCTGTGGTCTGCTGCTAGCTTGTAGCCAGGATTGCAGGCACAGTGGAACGTGCCCGGGGCACTGACACACCGGTGCTGGCAGCCGCGTCCTCCCTCAGCACATGCGTTCTTCCCTGAGGACACACAGGACTAGCATCAGCAGGGGACAGATGTGCAGGAACCTCCAACCAGAGAAAGCTGGATGGAGATGGAGTCAAGCGTGGCCTTAGATGGGGTGCGACTCCCTCTTCAGTCCAGGTAGGATGGC